CCCCAGCACGGAGACATCATTCGGTTCTACAACGAGATCTTCATCCCGGCAGCGAAGTCCTTCCTGCTGCACCTCGGGTTCGGCGCATCCTCTCCTTTGCAGCACACTCATTTTGTGCCCTTCCCTTGCTACCTCTATCCCTCTCTCTCCTCCCTCCCTCCCTCTCCTCCCTCCTTCACACCAGCCCATCCCCCAGCATGGAGACATCATTCGGTTCTACAACGAGATATTCGTCTCGGTCACCAAGTCCTTCTTGCTGCACCTCGGCCACAGCGCCTCCTCTGCTGCACATTCATTCTATGCCCTTCTCCCGTCACTCCCTCTCCTCCCTCTCTTCCCTCCCCTTCCTGCCCTCCCTCCCATCCCTCCCATCCTTCTCCTCTCTCCCCTCCCCTCCCCTCCTTCCACTCCATCTACCCACACACACCCAATCCCCACCAGCCCATCCCCCAGCACGGAGACATCATTCGGTTCTACAACGAGATTTTCGTCCCGGCAGCGAAGTCCTTCCTGCTGCACCTTGGTCACGTCACGGCTGCTTCCACATCAGATTCATTGTGCCCTTCTCCCCGTGCTTCCTCTCCTCCCTCTCCACTTCCTCCCCGCCCCCCCCTCCCTGTCCTCCTCACCAGCCCATCCCCCAGCACGGAGACATCATCCGGTTCTATAATGAAATCTTCGTCCCGGCCACCAAGTCCTTCCTGCTGCACCTCGGTCACGGGGCCTCCACAGCAGGGGGAGCAGCAGGGGGAGCGGGAGAGAGGGGCGGGGGGCACGGGGGGAGCATGTTCAGAAGCCCACTGGTGCACTCGTCACCGGCTCTGGCGCACTTTCAGCAGCACCAGCAGTCACCGTCATCTGTTCCAGGCGCCTCCCCCCGCCGTGTGTCCTCTCGGCATAATGTCTACGTGTCCCCACTGCCCACCTCTAGGGTAAGTTAAGCACAGCACAAACGTAGCGCATGTGACACCACTTCAGAAGTCCCATTGGTGCACTCCTCGCCTGCTCTCGCGCACTTTCAGCAGCACCAGCAGTCACCGTCATCTGTTCCAGGCGCCTCCCCCCGCCGTGTGTCCTCTCGGCATAATGTCTACGTGTCCCCACTGCCCACCTCTAGGGTAAGTTAAGCACAGCACAAACGTAGCGCGTGTTACACCACTTCAGAAGTCCCATTGGTGCACTCCTCGCCTGCTCTCGCGCACTTTCAGCAGCACCAGCAGTCACCGTCATCTGTTCCAGGCGCCTCCCCCCGCCGTGTGTCCTCTCGGCATAATGTCTACGTGTCCCCACTGCCCACCTCTAGGGTAAGTTAAGCACAGCACAAACGTAGCGCGTGTTACACCACTTCAGAAGTCCCATTGGTGCACTCCTCGCCTGCTCTCGCGCACTTTCAGCAGCACCAGCAGTCACCGTCATCTATGCCAGGTGCCTCCCCCTGTCGCGTGTCTTCTCGGCATAAGGTATAGTCTCCCCACTGCCCACCTCTAGGGTGAGTCACCACCACCTTATGCTTTCCATGCTCGGGTCAAGGGAGGCGCTTTCAGCAGCACCAGCAGTCGCCCTCCTCTATACCGGGGGCCTCCCGTCGCAGTGTGTCGTCGCGGCATATTGTCTACGTGTCGCCACTGCCAACATCGAGGGTGAGTCCAAAGAAAGGTCCGCTGTCAGATGGAGGCCCTTCTAGCCTCCCCACTCCGCCAGCTCTCTGCTCAGCTATCCACGCAGCTGCTGGGAGGGAGGGCTCGTATCCAGACCTCCTTTGCCGTCCCTCCGCCCACTCCCCCCCATTCACCAGATGGAGGCTCTGTTGGCCTCCCCTCACCGCCAGCTGTCAGCGCAGCTGTCCACGCAGCTGCTGGGAGGGGGCCTTTCCGCTGACCCCTTTGCAAGTCCATCCAGGCACATTGCGGCCATCAACCAGCGCATCAGCAGCAGCAGGTGAGAGAAGAGGGCGGGGGGTATGGTGGGGTAGGGAAGGGTGGGGCGGGGTGGAGTGGGTGGTATTGCAGCTAGCCCCTCCAGGCACATCAACCAGCGCATTAGCAGCAGCAGGTGAGGGTGGGAAGGGACTGGGTATAGGACGGGAGATTTGTGTGATATTGCTAGTACTGCAAGCTGTCCACGCAGCTGCTGGGAGGGGGCGCTGCTGACCCCTTTGCTAGCCCCTTCAGGCATATTGCGGCCATCAACCAGCGCATCAACACCTCCAGGTGAGAAAAGGGGCGGGGGGGTATGGTGGGGTAGGGAAGGGTGGGGTGGGGTGGGTGGGATTGCAACTAGCTCCTCCGGGTACCTGACTGTTATTATCCAGCGCATCAGCAGCACCAGGTGAGAGAGGGATGGGGGGGGAGAGAAGGGAGGTTAGATAGGGTAGAGCAGGGAAGGGTAGGTAGGTGCTACGGTCCCCTCTTGCCTGCCTCGAGGCGTCCTGCTGCGATTAGCCCTTGTCAGCTCCACTCGGATCAGGCCGTTTTAGTCACCTCTAGTGAATTCTCTGGTCAACTTTAGTCAACTCTCGTCTACATAAGCGAAAGCTGTCCTCCCCTTTCCCACTTTCTTCTCGTTCTTACGATACCTCTTAGGCGCCTAGGTTTACTTAACCTCTCAGATGCAATGAATTTGGACGGTTGTTTGCTTGACCTCTCAGATGCTGGTCTCGCGCATCCAGCATAACTCTAGTCAACTCTAGTCAACTCAAGTCAACTCAAGTCCAATCCGTCATCCCCTCTCTCTTCCCTTGCAAATACTCTCCAGGCGCCTGGGTCGTCTGGACTTCTCAGATGCAATGGATGTGGACGCCTCTCGTGCGTCTAGCATCACTCCCCCACCCCCCACACCTATTGCTACCCTCGGGGTTGCTACAGCTGCTGCTGTTCCTGCTGCTGCAGCAGCTGCTGCTACTGCTGCTGCGGCAACTGCTCCTGCTGCTGCCCCTGCCCCTGTTACTGCTGCTGTGAATGGTACTGACGCCAGTACCTCTCCTCATGCTGCTGCTGCGGTTGACGCTAGAGTGAATAATGATTCTGGTAATAGTCCCAGTGCTGATATCGGGATGCCTCCTCCTCTTCCTCCTCCTCCTGCTGCTGCTCCTGTCGAGGCTCCTGCTTCTGCTGCTGCTGCTTCCGCTGTTGGTGCTGCTGCAGGTGTTTTGCCAGGAGAATCCTCAGGTGTTGCTGCAGCAGGAGAGCAGGCAGCAGTGTATGCAGTGGGCAGCACAGGGGGAAACGGGGAGGGACAGGTGGCGATCCCATCAGGAGCAACAGCTATGGGAGTTGAGAGCTCAGCAATGGGGGTGGGGATGGGGGTGGGGAGTGAAGGGGTCGGTGTGGGGAATGGAGGGGTGGGGAACGGTGGAGTGGCAACTGCAGGCGAGGTCGAAGGCTCGTGGTGGCAGCAGCAGCAGCAGCAGCAGCAGGGGGCACAGCAGCAGTATTTGCAAGGACAGGGGCAGGAGGAGAAAGTTGGGCAAGGGGCGGTGCAGGGTGGGGAGTATGGGCAACAGGAGTATATGGGTGTAACTCAGGGAGGGCAGCAGTGGCAGGATCAGCAGCAGCAGTACCAGCAGCAGCAGCAGCAGCAGCAGCAGCAGCAGCACCAGCAGCAGCAGCAGCAGCAGCAGCAGCAGCAGCAGTTTCAGGCTCTGGAGCAGCAGCAGCCGCAACAGCAGTATCAGTACCAGTAGCAACAATGCAGCTGCCGCGGTAGCAGCAGTTGCCACCCCCAGCAGCAACAGCAGCAGCCGTCGCAGCAGTATCAGTACCAATAGCAACACCACTGTCTCACTTCAAGCATCAGACACCTCATAAAAAAGCCCTTGGGGGTCTGCCTATCCTACTGTGTTGACATAGCATGAAGCGCCATACATCTTATAACGAGGGTTAGGTAGCTTGGTACCATCAGACAGATACCTTATAATGAGGCTCAGGTGGCTTATACCATCGGAGAGACACCTTGTAACGAGGCCCCTAAGAGGGGCCTTGCTAGTGCTTGCTAACTTGCCTCCCCGCTCAGCAGTGTAATCCCTATGCTGGGTTTTTTAGGCGCCTCAAAATTCTTCCCCCCGCGCTCAGCAGTGTGCTGGGAAAAGGCTGTAGGAGCCTAGTGGGTGCCTATTGGGGTAACGTTGATTGAGCCGTTTGTTTGCGGGGGTACTGTGTGTTGGGGAGGGGGGTGGACTGAATAGGCCAAGTGGTTGACAGCATGGGGAAAGGGGTGTAAATGGATGGGTGTGGGGGAGTGGGTATGGAGGGTGGGTTCAGGAGGTGAGTAAGGATGGGTAAGGAGGGGGGGGGAGCAGAGGAATGTTCGTACTGTGCAAGCTTGTGAAGGCAGGCACGTGTGTATGTGCAATGTGCAGCATTGAAGATGCCTCTTCTGAGACCTTATTCTTTGGTGGATTACTTGGCTTGGCGGACTGGCTTGAACAAGGAAGGCGTGACAAAGAGGTACCCAAGCGAGTGGATCAGTGGCATAGTGCATGACTTAAAGCCTGGGTTGAACAAGGTGTGGACAACAATGAAGCTTACTACCAGTAGGCAGGTGGAGTAGTGGCATGAGAGGACTACCGTGACTACTCTGTGTAATATAACTACATGTTACCATTCTGTACAGTGCGTACAATGATGACTGCCTAAACCAAAGCCTACCCAGTGAAAACACTGGTACTCTTGTAGTTTTGTGCTGGTTAATTAATTGAAGGATTTCATACGTATAGAAACCAGACAGAGACTGAGCTGATGGCATTGACATTTACTTTGATGAGATGGACATGATCAAAATGCTAACTATTCGCGGGCTAATAACACCTCCATTCTTATTGAAGGAGAAAAACCAGAAGCTAAAAGGCTAGACAACACACGTTTTAACCTGAGGCTAAGGCCTCCACCTGCTACTCTTCAGAATCAACCCATTTGCCGCTTCCGCAGGTATTTACAGAGCGGAGTCGTGGTGTATGTGTAACACCTGTAACAACATTACAGAGTGCTTCCGTGCCCTCATCCTTACTTGGCTCGGTCAGCAACCGCTGGAGGCACGACCATGGCTCCGACTGAAGCAGCTGCGCATGTGGAGATGTCCCCTGCGGGAGCACCTGAAGAAACACCTGAGGAGTTGCTTCCGTACGTAATCGCATGGATGAAGGTCTCTGTTGGGGAGGCGGCACACATCTTGGCGGTTGTAGCGGGGGCGACAGTGGCGTTCCCCTCCTCTTGCTCCGTTGCCGAACGGGAAGCAGATGGCTCGTCAACCGTGGCTGGAGACAGGAGCTCACGTTCGGGGAACTCGGATGCAATGATGGGTCCGGCATCAAGTCCGGGAACAGACTCGGTAATTGCCGAGCCTAGGTGGCGAAGGAGGTGGCGGAGTGGGTTGGGCTCACTGCAGGCGTGACAGAAACAGGGGAGCGAAGAGAAAAAAGGGCACGGTCAGAAATGCGGATTGACAAAAGAAAATCAAAAGTGGGGATGGCTACGGCAGGGGAGCAGGGTGGGAGGGCAGGGAATTGGGGGTGGGAGACGAGGCTGGTGGAAATCTCGAGAAGAGAGGTCTTCGCGGAGAGCTTACGCTGAGTGAGCGGCGCGGAAGGTGCAGCGGTCGGGGCAGCGCGTGAACACGTCACCCGTGTGAATGAACTTGGTTTTCCCAACGGATCCATTAGGTCCGCGCAGCTCGAGCGTCGACTGCTTGCTGCAGTAGTCTTCGCAGAAGGTTTCGCCGCCGATGGTTACTGCGACGTCGCCACTGGTAACCAGGAGGTAGAGCGCGGCACGGTCGAATGGAAGCGCGCCGATGTCGATCTGGTGCTGGACGGCTGCGATTCAAGCGAACGGGCGAACAGAGCGAAAGGCAGGAAGATCAAAACACAAGGTTAGTCTCAAGGTATGCAAAATCGGGATTTTGTGACATTGGTGCAAGAAAGGGGTGAAAAACTGTTACCTTCAGCTAAGTCGTAGTGGCTGTTATCGACGGCCACGGTTCCCAGCTGAGCCAGCGATTCGTAACCTGGCAACTCGCTGATAAAATCTTCCACAAGAGCCACGTCAGCAGCGTTCCACGTGCCGTGGAAAACGACGTGGAGGGGAACGCGTGGCACATCGGGCGACAGGCCTCTTCTCAATCTCGAAAGGTGAATGTGGGTGGGAACCCCGCCGCGTGAAGCGCTGTCGTAGACCGGGGATGCCAACCCGCGGACAGGACAGTCGGGACGAGCGCGGCGAGAATCGCGACGGTGATGGAGAGGAGACCGAGGAGCGCGCGCATGCCGAGCGGTGATCGGGGAGCCATGGTGTAATCTTCGCTGGTGTAATGTGTCCGCTTCGCGACGTCTCTCGGTGTGACCGATGTGACTCGGCTGCACGATGCTTCAAACCTCTTGAGAGTAGACTGAAACAATGTGAAATTGAGGTTTGAAATGGATCCCAAATGAATACGAGGGAGAAATATAGAAGAACGGTTGTTGTTGAGCTTGAGAGCGGGTTTTAGAGCTTGAGTGTGGTGGGGACTTGCGGGTGTATTATTGGAGCCCCACAGCGGTGATTCGCGATCTTAATGAGCTTAAGGGACAGTGAGGAAATGACGGGGGCCAGAAAGGCATGGCAGCTTGGAAGAATTCGTCTGATTCTTGAGCGATTTTGTTACCAAGAGCATTGCGCCGCGGAGATCAAGCGGGGCGCGGATTTGTGAGCGGGGCGCGGAAGAAAAAGCAGGGCGCGGAAAGGAGAGGCGTATGGGCGAGGCAACGTCGGTCGGTGGTTGGCTGAAGCTGGCACGGGGGAAGGAATTGTGACCAGGAAAAGGGCAAGTAGCTCTCGCAGGGGTACTACTAGCGACCCTGCGCTTTTAAGGGGACTACAGTGCTATATGCGGGCACTTTCCGCCACTCCGCCCCTCCGACAGGAACATTATGCGGCCAGCTTCATACATACTCAGATTAGTCACGAGTGGGTTCTCAGGTGTAATCAACCTGGAATTTCTCGACGTTGATTGGTCGTCGATTTTTAGTCACACTGTTTACGCTGATCTAAATGTTTGGGAGATGACAAAAAGAGAACTATCTAGTTTACCCTCCCGACTTGGATTTGTTAAATTAAAGTACGTGAATTTACGACAGGGCAGAGAATTAAACCCCTATAGAATCTGGACACATTTGCGGGAGGGATCAACCCTAAACACGGTAAAGGGCATTGTTTTTAGGGTTGATGCCTCCCGAGTCGCATCCCTTCTCGATTGGGTAAAAGTTTTTGGGTCAAGAGGGTGAAATATATTTTTCCTGAAGTGGGCGGCTTCCCGTAGTTGAGGTTGATCTGTTAACGAAATTCATCTAGGTTCACTACAAGTTTTTTTTTTTCAGGTGTTGCATTTTCTGTCGTGACTGTATTCGGAAAACATCACGAAACACCTACTACTAATCGCGAAACTGTGTTTCTGTTGATGATTACACCTGAGAATCCGCTCGGGAAAACTTTGAGTAACTATGATATTGGCCGAACACTATGGCGACAACACAGAACTCGGTCCCAAATTCACCCACGTGTCACAAATTTTGCAAGCCACTGGAAAAAATATCCCTTTACCTCACCAAAAAAAAACTAAAACCCAATCGGGAAGGGATGCGTCTCGGAGAGGCATCAACCTTAAAAAAAAAAAAGTGGGTTCCCGTGTTTAGGGTTGATCCCTCCCGAAAATGTGTTTTGTTCCCTATGGGTTTTTTTTTTTGCCGTGCGTTTTTTAACTTTCTAAATTTGTGACACGTGGGTGAACGTGGGGAAGAGTTCTGTGTTGTTTCTATAATTTCCCCTGTCTGAGGCACGAAGGGGCGGAAAGTGCCCCTGCTGGCACTGTAGCTCACTAGAAAACGCGGGGTCCCTAGTAGTACCCCCGCGAAAGCTACTTACCCCCAGAACAGGAAGAATCACGCGACTCGACGGTTTTCGGATTTGTGTCAATCCGGTCGACCACTCGTGCACCACGTCAGCACAATTTAGAATTCCAAAACTCCGATCGAACCTCCAATAGGTTACGCGGTATGGTATCATGTTTATCGGTTGGTGTTGAGTGTGTCACCGCAGGTACGTAACTTTGTCATAGTTGGTTTGGTTTAGGCTCTCTAACGTCCCGCATGATATTGTTTTTCTCGTGGTGTAGGTCTGCACAATACATACGACGGTGTCGTGTAGGCACGATTTAGATATTGCAATTTGGGAGATTATGCCTGTGGCTGTTTGTGACACATGAAACGCCCAATCAAAATCTGTAACTCCTTAAATCACTCTTGGGATTCAGGGGAAATTTTATCGTGCGCGCAGTTTTGTCCGTAGTGTTACGAGACGCTGCTAGTTACGAAATATTTTCGCGACCACTCTCGTTAACTCGCAAAAAAAAATCTGCAACATCTCTCGTTAAGCTCGTTGCGCATTGTTCACTGTTGACGTGTGTGCTGTTAGATTGATGCATAATGACCCTCAAAATATTGCTTTTAGATGAGTGGATCACAAAGGTTAATTCTGCTTCCTAAGAAAAACTAAAACCCGTTCGGATGGATTTCCTTCGGAAGGCATCAACCCTAAAGACCTTGTCAAAAGGTGGTAATAATTGGGGGGGGAGGTGCTCCCAGCGGAGCGGATGTCCCATGTGCGTGCGACTCGCGGGACTAATTCTCTTGAGGCGATCGTGATTGGCCGGCGAATAATGTTCGTCAAAACAGCTTTTCTGCTTCCCTGGAAGGATGGCAAACGTAGCTGCGAAAATCGGCGAAGTTTCAGGCGTTGACGACAAGCGCAGCTGTTCGGCTGACTCGGATGGGCGATTTGGCGATAGCGCCCCAACAGCTTGCTTGCTTCCTCCTCGTCACCCACGAGCGACAACTATAACAGCCTTGGTGTACAAGCTTGGATGATAACTCAACGAATTTGACGTGCCCGTTACTGCTTCCGCGATGGTGACTGGGGCTGTCAATCATCCCTGTGCATTCAGAAGGCGGAACAACAGAAATCGTTTCTTCTGCCCGTAAATGAATCTGGCACCGCATGTCCCCAATAATTTCACAGCTCAAAAGTCAGGCACATGGATTTGGTTTGGTTTTGCCAACGTATGTTCATGCGCAAACCACGGGGAGCACAATTATTGCCGTAAGGAGGCTGACGTGGTCAACGGAAATGGCTTATGGGGGTCCACAGTGCTAAATGCTTGGTTACAGGGGGGCGCGTTAGTAGTACCGTAGTGAAACTTTACTACATAAGTACGAGATCAGTGACTACACAACATTTATTTATATATCATACCACCTGACAGAAAACACATCCAGTCCAGGTCCTTCATTCCAGCACATCATCCATGAAGTTAGTGATCAAACAGGCTTGGAGATCCTTCTAGACAGAAGCTGCATCACCCACGTACCGTACCAGAACAAATATTGTGTAGTTGTTGCGCCGGATACGGTACACAGCTGGTTTCCATTTTTTCCATCTGTCAGCAGCAGCATCATTTTATTGACCACAATTTCAGATCCTCACTAGGAGATATTTTCCATCACTGCTGGACAAAACAAAGGGGAGCAGCTCATTCACGCCTACACTAAGAAAACCAAGCTCTAAAAACTAAAACAACTCAGATCTGGTTGGTATTGAGGCCAATAACTCAAGCCCCAAACCACCTCACCTCATTTTCTTCCACTCTCCCAACTTCTTCCACCTCATCTTCTGCCTCTACAGAGCAAGTACGGCATCTACAGAGCAGAGTGGTGGTGGTGTACTTTTAACACCTTGACAGAGTGTTCCTGTGTCTGTTTTTACTTGGCCCGGTCAGCAGCTGTTGGAGGCACAACCATGGATCCCATGGAAGCAGCTGCGCATGTGGCCATGCCGTCTCTCTGTGCACCTGTAGAAACGCCTGAAGAGTTGCTTCCGTACGTGATGGCATGAATGAAAGTCTCTGTTGGGAAGGCGGCACACACCTTGGCGGTAGTGACGTTCCCCTCCTCCTGCTCCACTGCCGAACCGGAAGCAGATGGCTCGGCAACCGTGGCTGGAACAAAGGTCTCACGTGCAGAATATTGGGATGCGGTAATGGGTGCAGCAGCAGGTCCGGGAAGAGCCTCGGTGATTGCCGAGCCAAGGTGTCGAAACATATGACGGATGGGACTAGGTGCACTGCAGGTGACAGAAACGGGAGCTAAGGGAGAGGTCAGAACATGTGTAAGGCAAATTGACAAGATAGAGAAAAATGAAGTTGTTGAGCAGGTGGAGGTTACGGGGCAGCACAAGAGGGCAAGGCGGCAGAAAGGGTGGAAGAGTGCAGATACAGGAATGTAGATTCGTTAAGTTCTCGAAAGGTGAAGGGGGCTTCGCGAAGGACATACCTTCCTCGGGCTCCGCAGAAGGTGCAACGGTCGGGGCAGCGCGCAGCAACGTCACCCACGTGGATAAATTTGGCTTCCGCGAACGACCCATCGGCTCCATGGAGTTCAGGTAATGACTGCTTGCTGTAGTAGTCTTCGCAAAAGATTTCGCTGCCGATGGTTACTGTGACGTCGCCGCTAGTAACCAGAAGGTAGAGCGCGGCGCGGTCGAATGGAAGCGCGTCGATTGTCAAACTCATATGCTATAGTCTATGTAGTTTGTAGTGGGGTAGACAATATGGGGTACAACACTTTTAGGTTTTCCTACTTGTACCCACATGCTTGCTAGTTCATTCATTCCTCGTTCTTTAACATGGTATAGAGCAGGTTCCCTAGTGGGAACGTTTCCTAGGGCCCACCGAATATCAATTTTTTTTTCCTGCCCGGAGCGCGCTTCGCCCGTGCCCGAGTCGCGCCCCGTGTTCCTACCCTCCCGTCACGTCCACTGCCCTTAGTGGCCCGTCGCGCTCCCTTACGGCCCCGTAGCGACCCCTCTCACGACCTCTCACGGCCCCTCTCACGGCCCCTTCGTGGCCCCTTCGTGGCCCCTTCGTGGCCCCTTCGTGGCCCCTTCAGGCCCCTCGTGGCCCCTTCGCGGCCTCCCTTCGCGGCCCCTTAGCGGCCCCTTCACGGCCCCTTCGCGGCACCTTCGCGGGACCTTCGCGGCCCCTTCACGGCCCCTTCGCGGCCCCTTCACGGCCCCTTCGCGGCACCTTCGCGGCCCCCTCGCGGCCCCTTCGCGGCCCCTTCGCGGCCCCTTCGCGGCCCCTTCGCAGCCCCTTTGCGGCCCCTTCACGGCCCCGTCGCGGCCCCCCTCGCGGCCCCCCTCGCGGCTCCCTTCCCGGTCCTTCGCGGCCCCGCCCCGCTGCCCGTAGCGGCCCCGCCCTGT